ACTCAACACTTTAGCACAACTATGCATAAAACAGTTACCCAATGATTGCAGGTAAATACAGATGCATCAACAAGAGTTCCCTCTTACTGTCCCTCGCTCTTCAGTTGCCTACTCTACTTCTCTTGTTTACTCCAGTTTCACTGAGCCTATTTTTACCCCCACTGCCCCGAGGGTGGATTCAAATGCAGAACTGCAACTGGGTGTCTGCTTCTGCGACCCAACACTCGGCTCACACTGCGCACTTGGTGTTGAAAGCAGCTTGTCGTGTCAGCTGCTTTATTGAGGTACAATCGCACCAGTCTCTGAATCAACTCCACCTTCATCTCAAAGCGTCGTCTTTATCAGGTTGGAGACGTCTTCCTCTTCACCACATTGAATGTCTTTAGTCCAATAAGTCCACCGTCCCTGCTCTAAACATGTCCAAAGCATCTCAGCCTTTCTGAATTTGTCTTCTATTGACTCAAAGTTGAGGGAATCTTCACCTCTTGGTCTCTGCCGCCCTTCCAAACCGCACACCAAAGAAGGCCTATCTACACGCGATGTCCCTGAGCCGATCAAGAGATTTTCTTTATTGATCTGTTACAGAGTGGCTGCTGAACTTGGGACACACTGTCTAACGTTTGATGTCAGCTGTGCCGGAATGCAAAGGAAAGTTAAACTGCGGGAAAAAAAAGAACATTTGGAAAATTGAAATTCATGTGAGTAAATTGAAACTTTTGGGTAATTTATCCAAACAAAAATACTAAACTTTGTTCTGTCATAGGCAGGTTTGAACCTTGATTTATGAAAGTAATAATTTTATGACTTAATTTGTATTTGATGACATCACTGATGACATTATTGAGTCAAAACTATCTTAGCAACTTTAAAAGAACATCATTGTTTTGAGTTTTTATAGTTGTCTATGTTCTTGTAAACTCTTAATTTGGTTATGCAAATTGCTATATGAAGTTTAAATGCTTTTTTTGACATTATATTCACATAAAATGAAAATTAGTAAATTGTGTTTCACAAAAATTATTGAAATGTCCAAACTGAAGTACAAAACGTTAGTTTTCATTCTACTCAGTACATGCTATTTGATCATTATTTAGGCTTTTTTGTCATTTTATCTTCATAAAAACATAAAAATTTTAGCCAACTTCCTTTACCAGCCAAACTTAGCACTTTTCCATCAGTACCCACATGTCCAGGTGTTATAGATTATTTTTTTTACATATGGCATAGCAAAGAAATCTGGTCGTTTTAGTCAAGATTATGGTAAAATATATTTTTCTTAACTATACCAATATTTTTTTCTTCTTTCTGCTTCCTTTCATTTATTTATGATTTGTGTTTTTATTGTATATAGATGTTTTTCTTTTTGGTTTATAATGAATAAATATTAATAAATAAGTCCCTGTAAAGAAACAAATGTCAGTAGCTTAAATTCCGGTTATTTCCTCTCTTCCAACTTTGAAAATCCTCCAAATTTTGCAACCCTAGTTGGACCAAAACATGTGAGTATTTTTAAATACAAAACAGTTCAGTAACGAGTAATGTTCGGACCACAGCGATCACCATGCTGGAGAAAACCCACGATTGCATGGGGAGAACATTTAAACTCCACACAGAAAGTGCTCCAACCAGTTTAACCACAGTGCTGTGAGGCAACAGCACTAACCACTGTACCCAACGTGCCACCCCATCATATATATTATTATAGGTTTTCTGGTTAAATATTAGGGCTATGATTCCTGGGAGAGCAATAAATGAAAGATAAATTAGGGTATGAGATGATAGTTTCCTGAAGAGGATTTGGGTGTTTGAAGTGACAAACGAACCAAGCGACCCGAAGACTTAAGACTATTCCTTAAAGGACTAACTTTCATTTCAACAGATTAGGACCGCGGGATTAGAAGCTTGGAATGTGATTTTAATTCCTGTCCACACACTTCAAGACGCTTTGAATATTTTAGCTCTGTGTCAGTGATCCTACTTATCATCATTTACAAAGAAAATCAGACCTTTTAAAGAAAATATAAAGGTAAACTCATGAAGACAAATAACTAAATCCACACTTTTCTCCCATATATCGATGACTGACATTTTAACAACTGCCAACTATAACATATGTTTATTAAAGTGACTGACAAAGAGTCAAATACATTGGCCCTGATAATAATCCCTGTATGGTTCGTTCTTTGGTGTTTATGTTTCAAAACTAAATCCCAAAGAACCTTGTTTTTTGTTGTTGCAGTTGTTTGTAAAACCTAAATGTAAAACTGAACTAATTAAAAATCCAGTTTTTGTTTATTTAAATCCAAAACCAAATTTATGCTTGTTTTAATATGTACTGATGCCAGAAATGATGGAAGTCGCCAAAAAAGAAGAGTTTATAGTGGCTGGAAAACTGCTTAAACATGGAAATTATTCTTAAAGATATTGGCAATGGCTGCCTTTGAACCCTATTATTCTGTAGAACTTGGAATATTACAGCAGTTTTGTTGGTAAGATCATTAGCCCTCAATGAGACCGGTCAACTCCCTCTAAATAAGACAAACATATCCATGATGAGACTTTGGCCATTTTTAAGTGCTAAGTAAAAAAAAAAAAAAGCTAATGCACTGGGAGTTCCATCATTTCCTGTTCCAAAACGAAAACCCCAATGGTCCATTAGCAAAATACGAACAGCATCTTTGCTTTAAATGTAAAATAAATAAATAAAATGTCAAATAAAAAATCCTTTTTTATTTGTGGGCGGCACGGTGGCTCAGTTGGTAGAGCTGATGCCTCTCAGCAAGAAGGTCACCGGTTCAAATCCCGGTCCGGGGACCTTTCTGGGTAGAGTTTGCATRTTCTCTCCGTGCATGCGTGGGTTCTCTCCAGGTACTCCAGCTTCCTCCCACAGACCAAAAACATGACTGTTAGGTTAATTGGTAACTCTAAATTGTCCCTAGGTGTGAGTGAGAGAGTGAATGCTTGTTTGTCTCGTTTGTCTCTATGTGTGGCCCTGTGATGGACTTGCGATCTGTCCAGGGTGTACCCCGCCCCTCGCACTGTGACTGCTGGATATGGGCACCAGTGACCCACGCAACCCTGAAAGGAAGACGCATGTACAGAAGATGGATGGATGTCCCTTTTCTAAAAAAAAACACCCAATTATTTGTTCTTTTTTCTTGTTTCATTTTGAAATAAAAAAATAACACATGGATTTTTACCCACTCATTTGGCATTTTGACTTGTTTGTTCATTTATGCACTGTTCTGTTAACAAGTTCTTTGTTTACATTAAGTGCGTACCAGCATTTTTGAAATGCATCTAAATGAATCTGGAAAACTACTGAAGCAAAGCAGATTGGATGTCTTACTTTAAAAAACATGAAATATTGGGAGGACTTTGCTAAAGCAGCAGCAGCATGGAGTGGAAACGTTCAGGTGGGGGGAATGGGTGATCGTGGTGAGAGAAGTATGTGTGTGTGTGTGTGTGTGTGTGTGTGTGTGTGTGTGTGTGTGTGTGTGTGTGTGTGTGTGTGTGTG